AAATAAAAAAGTGAAGATGCTAGAACTAAGAGGTTAATCATATGAAGTTCTTATACTACAAAATGCTAGACTTAAAGATGGTCGTCAGTCAGGTGCAACAATTGCAAATTATTCTCCATGATATTCAAATTGAGAACATGTATCTAAGTAAATCATTTCAAGTGACTGCAATCACTGAAAAAGTTTCACCCATGTGGAAAGATTTCAAGAAGTATCTCAAATATAAGCGCAAAGAGATAAATATTGAAAATCTCATCATCCATTTGAGAATTAAAGAAGATAACCAAAAGTCGGACAAACGTGTTGGAAGTCATATAACACAAGCTAAGGCTAATGTGTTAGAATCAAATGACAAGAACAAGAAGATAAAGCATTCCGTTGAGACCTTCAAGCAAGGAAATAATAAGAATGCGAAGAAGTTCAAGGACAATTGCTATAATTGTGGAAAGGCTGGACATCGATTTATTAATTGTCACAAACCTAAGAAGCAAGCCCCAGCAAATATTATCGAATCTGATGCAATATATGATGGTATATCAAATATGAGAACTTGTTGGCCTTTATTTCAGAATGCAACAATGTTGAAAATCCCATGGAATGGTAGATGGATACGGGTGCTATCCGTCATATTTATGCTGATAAAGGAGTGCTCTCATCCTACACTCCAACCGATGGTAAGAAATTGTTCATAGAGAATTTTTTAAATTCAGAGGTTGAAGGACAAGGCAAAGTGATTTTAAAGAAACCATCGTGGAAAGAACTTAGCCTTGACAACGTTTTTCATGTGTCGGATATTCGCAAGAACTTAGTGTTGGGTTCCTCATTAAGCAAGAATGGCTTTAAACTAGTATTTGTATCTGATAAATTTATACTTACAAAGAACAATATGTATGTAGGCAAAGGTCATATAAAAGATGTACCTTTCAAGATGAGTCTTTACCATTGTACCAAATAACTCAATGAATAAAACATCTTTTTCTACTTATATTCTTTGAGTCTTCTAATTTATAGAATTATAGATTAGAATATACAAACTTTAATTCCATACGCAAGTTAATGAATTTAAATTTATTACCAAATGCATTTTAATACAAATGAAAAATGCGAGATTTGTGTAGAGGCTAAGATGGTCAAAGTGCCATTTTATTCGATTGAACGAAACACGACATCTTTGGAACTTATTCACACTGATACATGTGATTTAAAGTTTGTCCAAATAAAATGTGGCCAAAAATATTTCATCACATTCATAGATGATCATACAAGATACTATTATATATACTTGTTGAAAAGCAAATATGAAGCTTTGAAAATGTTTAAGCACTACAAAATTGAAGTTAAAAATCAACTTGAAAAATGAATAAAGATAATTCGTAGTGATCAAAATGTAAAATATGTTGCACTGTTTGAAGAATTTTGTTTGAAATCTTGAATTATTCATCAAACAACAGGTACCATATTTACCTCAATCTAACGGTGTTACTGAACGTAAAAGTCGATCACTTAAGGAAATGATGAATGTAATGTTGATAAGATCGGGCTTACCTCAAAACTTATAGGAAAATCTATACTTTCTGCAAATCATATTCTTAATAAAATACTACACAAGATTAAGGTTGAAACTCCTTATGATTTATGGAAATGTCAGAAACCTTTCTATAATTATCTTAAAGTATGGGAGTGTTTAGCAAGGGTACAAATGCCTAAACATAAACAAGTAAAGATTGGACCAAAGACAATATGTCTTTATTGGATATGCAAACAATAATAGTGCATATCGATTTTTGTTTCATAAATCAGAAATACATTAGGTACCATCAATGAATGGGGCTTTCTTTGAAGATATCTTTCCTTGTAAAGAGAAAAAAGTAAGTTCACATAAATGAACTTATGTTATTTACGAACGGAAACCATCAAAATGGAAATTGTCAAGTAGATGAAGAACCAAGGTACAGTAAAAGGCGAAAAATTCATTAAATGAAGGAAACGATTTTTTAGCGTACTTATCAAAAAATGATCTAAGGACATTTAACGAAGTAATGTCCACTCTCGAAGCTCTTTTTTGGAAAGAAATGGTTAGCAATGAAATTTAATCATTTATACATAACCATACTTGGGAATTAGTTGAACTCCATCTGTAAAACAAAGTTCGGGTTGCAAATGGATCTTCAAGAAGAAACGGAAGTCGGATGGATCAATAGACACATATAGGGCTAGATTAGTAGCCAAAGGATATAGACAAAAGGAAGGACTAGATTTGTTCAATGCCTATTCACCTGTACAAGGATCACATCTATATGAGTGTTGATTATAATCGCAGCATTACATAATCTTGAAATACATCAAATGGATGTCAATACTGTATTTCTAAACAAAGAATTAGAAGAAGAAATATATATGAAACAACTTGAAGGGTTTGTTGTTTCAGGAAAGGAGAAGAAGTTTTGTAAGTTTGTAAAATCATTGTATGGAATTAAGAAGCACCGAAATAATGTTATGAAAAATTTGACAAAACTATGTTGTCAAATGGCTTCA